GTACATACCGGCGCTGACGTCACATTTTCCTTTAGAAATCACGTACAAATTTATCAACCCCAATGAAAGTATTTTAGCCGAAACTGTTGACCACATTCTTTATCTTACTCACAGTTATTTTAACCATTTATACGTTTTTCTGATGTCTTGTTTATGATTCTCGTTTGGACAAGCAATTTTAAACTTACTTGTAGCTATTACAACTTAGAAAAACTGACGTTTTCAAAATTAGCATATTAGGTAAAATATATATGAATATAATTCGTTTTTATGTCAGAACAAAAGTGAGTTAAATCTTTAAAATAACTTTTGTATTTTAGAATGAGAAATCTTCAAGACATTGCAAGTTAATACGTTATTCTACTGAGCGTAAGAACATAATACACATCAAATATACAATAAATTGAGTTAAACTCACTTTTTACTCCTCACCACCAGGTTCAGTAATTTTCTTCCTTCGTACAAAAAACGGAAAGAAAAATAACAGATTAACGTATAACCTAGTAGTCCTAACGAAGAATCCCCTGTACTTTGTGATCAAATGGAGTCAATGTTTAAAAGTGAACAACAGATGGCACTACCTACTCACGATTATAAATATAAAAGGAGTTCAGAATTGTTGTTTCAGTCGATACGACTTTTAAATATAATGTGTACTGATAATTCAATTTGCATTGAAATATTCTTTAAATATAATTTTTCATTTCTTCGCAGAACCAGTCAATAATTCTTACGAAACAGCTACATAAATAAAACGTGAAAATGATGACATGTACATATACATACGTTGCAGAACATATTTACAAACTTACGTTTTTTTCCTGCAGTAATCCATCTAGTGGCCCTTAGGTTAAAAAAAAAAGTTGTAATTTATGTTCAAAGACGAATTTAAGAATGTGTTACTTATAAAGTGATCCTGGAAAGCTATGTGAGTTTGGATAGCAAAACTCTAACATGTATATCATTTATTTCGATACCACTTGAAGAATAAGTCGTGTAGAATGTTTTCATATCAGTAAAAATATCCAGAACGAGGCTTGAAGTAAAGAACATGGAATTTATACTGAGTACTTAATTTTTTCTTCCACTTAAATGACAATTGAAATAGCTGTTGTGCTTATTTGTAAATATTTTTAAGTATTAACAACTCAGCTTAGCAGAATTGTTTACACAAGGATAATTTCTGTATCGTGGGATGATTTTTCATTTTTTCTACATTATCAAATATCTGAGCATAAACGTTTTGCTGTTGTTTTTCACATTTAAGTTTGGAAGCCATCCAAAAGTATATTTTTTAATATGCAATGCTCGTAAAAGTAACAAACGACTATACTGAATAGAGGTGTATTTCTCACATGGTTGTGTCACTTAGCAACAGATGAAGCACCTGCATGAAAGGATTAAAAAACATGGGCTACTCGATCTCTTGACAACAGAGATATCATAGAGAATTAAAATGGTTTCTGTAGTTGCTATGACAACAAACATAGTAGCCTGAGAAGTTGAAAGGTCATTATAACTTTGCTTCCCTTTGTAAGATTACCTTTTCTGGTAAAGCTTTTTATGTTCAATTTGTGTTGTACTTACCAGTTGCACGTTTACGACACTCGTATAAGACTTAATAGTATCATTCTTGGTATATGAACCGTAAACTTATTACATCTTGAAATAAAAGTTAACAAGACACTTGATAATATTTTAGATATTGAAACAATAACTCACTAATATTATTCCGCTCGAGAATCTAACACATTGAATACATAACATCAAATATGGAGGAACTTGGTTTTTAGTGAGTTTATTTTAGCAACGCTGTGTAGGTAAGTCATTCTGAATTAAGAATTCGAGTTCTTTCATGTGAGAAAAATATACCTATCGGATCCTTAATTAGTGTATTTTAAAATACAGAAACAGAAATCTCGAAACCTAAGTTTCTAAAAAAATATAAATTTCAGGGTTCAAAGATTATGAAGACATGTTATATATCAAAACTATATACGGTTTGATAAACACCCCATCACTCTACAGATTCGGCTCTGAAACTTGCTACCACACGTCATACCTGTTTAAAAATATTCTTCCTTACTGTAAAATCTGTAACATGTATAAAAACAACACTTATAATCAGATATGTAAACTCAAACGATACTAATTACTTCACTATGTTTGTTAATCTTATTGAACATGAGCCACATTTGATATTAGTGATAGAATGCTGAAGTATTTCAAGTTTACTTAGGTTTAATTGTTTTTTCCAATAAATGCCGTTATCTAGTTACGTTCAAATAAGTTTAACAATTATTCCTTTTATTATTACTATTTTTAATGATTTAAACTATTAGTCTATTTCAGAATAACCAAGTAATGTGAAAGAAGACCTATAGAAACAATTTTAGTGAAAAAAACTTTGTTAAGCCTAAGCTTAGGCTTAATAACGTTTTCAGTCTTTTATCACTACCATTTTATTCAAATTATATGGCTGGACTGTAATTTTTAGTTTTTTTTCTTCCTTGCTTTAAATATGATTTTGGCATTTAAGAAGATTTAGAAGTAAATAAAGAAGAAACTGATTATGATCATGAAAGTTTTAAAAAGGTAAAAAATGCAGAGTTTGGAAACTTGTTGTGGACTGATTGATGCGATGTTAAAATAATGTATTGTCGATAAATGTGAGAAAATAAATACAATGTAAAAAAATATAAAATATGTCGGTTTTACTAACATTCTCAATGTTGCGACATCATTTTTGCGTATAAAGTGCACTACGCCTATGTGGATCACTAACAAAGAACGCAGAATTATGTATTAAAAAAAGGTATTTGATACGTCTTACTAATTAGCATTTTTCAACTTTCTAACATCAATCTCTTCAGGTGGCGTTTACTCTTTGCTTATTATGCATGCAAAGAAAATAAAACCATTAACCTAAATTCTAGTAAGTAGTTAAGTGAACGGTATGTGTCAATAAGTTGTCACGTGGACACAAGTGCTAATGACTAAGATTGAATAACTCAGTATTGTAGTAGTATATATGCAACATACTATTTTCCCACGATTTATCAATGTGAATTGATTTAAGAATGTAGCGTACATACAATCACTCCACTAATTGTCTATTCTCTCTATTGGGACGAGCGCGGTCTGAATAGTAAGCGTGCTGAGACTCTCTGGTTCCCATCCTGTTACTGCCAGAAAAAAAAAAGTGACGGTCAATCCCCCAATTCGGTCTAACATGAGTGTCCAGCTACCTTCCCTGTATTTTTCTCTTCAAAAGTAGGAACGGATAACCCTTGTGTGGCTATGTGCGGAATTCAACAAACAAATGGTCTAGCGCTCGACTCACAATCTGAGGGTTACGGGTTCGAATCCTCGCCACACCGAAAGTGCTCGCCCTTTCAGCCGTGGGGGTGTTATAATGTGGTAAAATAGTAGCTCAATAGTTGGCGGTGAGTGGTGCTGACTAGCTGCTTTCCCTCTAGTCACTTGTAAATTAGGGACGGCTAGCGCAGATAGTCCCCGTATAATATTGCGAAAAATTTAAAACAAACTAAACCAATAGCCGAGAGATCTTTCGTCAATAAGAATGGATCATGAGAGACAAAAGATTCAAAGAAACGCTATTTATATAAGCAGTATAATACTTTAAAAAGTTACCGTACCATTATATTAACTATAGTTCACATCAACGTTTTAATTTTTCCCGCCTCATGTCAAGTAAAGTCATAATTATGGTTTGAAAAATCCTCAGATTAGTCAATTTGGAAGTAGGCTGAATAATAAGTATCCAGTGTGACATATTTACAATAAAATTAATGAAGTTTCTAAATTCTGTGTTAGTTATGATATTTGACAATGAAATATTTTGCATAATTTTAACAGCACTTTTACAACACATTAGTCAGGCGGCAATTAAAGTTTAATAATAACCAAAACACCACTGTTATAACAATAAATCGAATGTTTCGCAATTTTAAATTCAAATAAGGTCAACTGGAAATAAGTTATTATTTATGACTGGGACTGTAGAGTTAGGTACACAGTCAGGCAAAACAATACGCCAATTACGTATACGAGCATATAAACACTTGAAGTTATCCAGCAGAATTAGTTAAGAAAAATTCAAAATATTTACCCCAGAATCGTCTAGAAATTACCTTGCAATCAAAGAAACTTTACTAATTACAAATGAACTCCTAGTCCTAAATCAACAACCTGTTCTAGCTATCCTTTTATTTTATAAGTTTCTGTTCCATCGAATTATAATTGTTGTAGTTATACATACAGTTAGCCTAAATTAAAGATCTTAGCACTTCGTTTCTTCTAAATTCTTATTTCTGTATTTTATTTGTTTTTCTGGATTTTACTTAAAGCTATTATAAGAAAGCTATCTGCGCTAGCCGTCCTTAATTTGGAAGTGATAGATAAGACGGAAGATATAAATAGCCGCCAACTCTTTTTTAGACCGAAGAGTGGGATTTGACCGTCACTCTTATGACGCACCGAAGACCTCAAGATGCAGATCACGATTTTTTACAATGGTAGCAGGGTGTGAACCACGGAACTTTAACTCCACAATTCGACACACTAAGCACTGTAAATTTCAAAACTTCCTACTACAGAAATGTTTGTTACTATAGTTGTGTTTTTTTCTTGAACATTTATTGTTATTTACTTGAACGTCTTAGAGTTAGAAATATAATCTATTTTTTAAGTATCACTTGACATAGTTCCAGAATTTCCAGTTTAAAACGAAGTAAAATATGAATCATGTCTTAAATATCGTCACGTGATATCCGAATTAAATGTGTCAAACATATTTAATGTGTTCAAACATACAAACCATTCAATTCTTTAATAGTTGTTAAATATTTTTTCCCCCAAAAACAAAACGTATGTAAAGTCAATAACAGCAACCTAGTCCTGGCATTTCTCCAAAATAAAAGTATGTTTTAGTGTGTCTCAATGAGTCACCTGTGGTATAAGTTGGCAGACGACGAATAATTAGGCCTAACCGGTAGCAGATAACATTAGTAAGTTTGGATCAAGAACCTTGTTGCTAGCACTTTCCCACGTCTGAGCCTGAAGACCTTGAGTTCTGGAGGTCACCTTTCTCACGTTTGTCTTCCTTTATTTGTTTTATTTACTTATAATTTAAACAACAAAAACAAAAAATAGTAGTTACGCAACTAAATTAGTCCTAACTCGTTTCGCGTGGGTTATTGTTCGACGGCGACACTGCTTTCATTATAATCATTCCTGCCAATGGCGCCAGCTGGCCATGTAAACGAGTTGTAATTAGTCCAAATATATAATATAAAGTTAAAAAATGTATAGCACTTCTTAAATCTTCTTTTCCATTTACTATACCAAACATTAAAGAAATAAGGAATGATATAAAGTATTATTTCTTAATACTGTTACCGTTGTTTAACGTGTATTTATTCTTAGCAAAGAATGATCTTTCGTATAAACGTTACGTTGTTGTAATGTGTCGTGCATTACAAATTATACAACTGGTCATATCGTTTTAATGATACAAAAAAACAATGGTCCTGTTGGTTCTCACTGCCAAATTTAAAAATAGCCAATAACCACAAAGTTGAGATGAATAAGAACTTATTTGAATTGCTGATACTTAACATTCCCTTGATAAAAAGTTCTCAATATAAGTCAGTGTTGAGCTGATAACCAAGCGTACAGTTCCAGATTGACTAAACTCTCGCAACAAATAAATAACTCGGTGAACTTTTCAATGTCGAACAAGTTCAGTGATTTCCTGTTTAAAATTTTGATCTCATATTATGATTCTGAAGTATTACATAGGCTCACAGTTGTTATGTTCCGCTTCAATTTCAAAATTTACTTTCTTTCCACCCAAAGGAACTATACAGTTGATGTGTTTATAAACCTGGTGTTAATCATTGAAATATATTATAAATTTATAAGGTATGACAAAGACCAAGGAACACGAATATAAACTGCTGTAAAAGCTGTTTTCCATTGTGTGGTATTTATTTTTAAAAAATGGACCTCGTGTTGGGTTGTATCAGATGGAACACACTTTTTTCAATCAGCAATTATATATCACGTTCTTAATACTATATTATAGATATGAATTACAAAAATTCAAGCAACAGAACACTTGAAAACTATCAAATTTCCTTAATTTACGCGTAATGAAATTGAAAGTGGTAAAAATCAGAGACTTTCTAAAAACCGAGAATTCAACTAAAGCTGAAACCATCTAGAAACAAATCAGGGTCATCTCCAGAAGCGTCACTAGGCACTGGCACACGGAGTTCGTGCCCCGAATCTATTTTACAGTGCTCGGAGTCCCCAGATGGTCTCTCGAAAATTAGAATAGAAAACCATGATCGATATCATACTGAAACGCCGAAAATTCCCGCGTCTGTGGACCCGAATCGTTTAAGAATCTAGCGACGCGACTCAGAAATACTACCTCCCCAAAGTAGCTCAACGGTAAGTCTGAAGGCTTATAAGGCTAAAAATCAGGTTTCGATACCCGTGTCGGGCACAGCACAGATAAGCACATTGTGTAGCTTGCGCTTAACATCGAACAAAAAAAAAAAAGACTCGGAAATATTTGTACTTCTCAGAAATATGGCCAATAACAGTTGATAATTATGATCTGAATTTTAACACCATATTTAAATTTATGATGTGGAGTAATGGTTCGCGTCCTTCACCAGCTGTTAATACAGTTTTACTGTTTATAAATTTTAAAATTCTTCTCAACAATTCAAAACCGTTTTTAGACATAAGAATGATTAAAAATTAAATTAAATTCAAGTATTATGTATGGCCTTATCTATCATATTTGTTTTGTTGTTTTAAGTTCTCGTGGTCTCCCAGTGGTGCAGCGGTATGTCTGCAGGCTTATGACGCTAGAAACCGGGTTTCGATACCCTTGGTGGATAGAATACTGATAGCCCATTGTGTATCTTTACGTTTAACAATACCAAACAAATTAATTTCTTATTGAAATACCGATGTTTCAACAGTTGCACATTTTAATCTTTTTACAGGTAACTAACATTTTCTTAAGAAACGGCTAGAGCAATGTATAGTTTTTTACGATTTCAAGTGTACTTGTTACAGTTTTGTATCTGCTGACATTTTAATAGTTGTAGGCCGACAACACTAGAGGGATTTCGACCTTCGATGTTTACCTTGAGAAAGAGAGAGGAAACGAGTTTCCCGTCCTCACAAGAAAAATACCCATTGGTAATTGGACGGTGGTTGTCACGTGCCCTTTTACGTCACAGTCGTGTGTTTAAGCCATTCTTACAAGCATTTATTATCATTTCCGGTAGATGAATTATCTGATAGTGACTGCTACTATTCATTCACAACACTTGCTTATTCATTCACTGTGCACGTGCAACTCTTTGCAGTTCTTTCTTGTTAGAAAATCAACCATGCCCTGGTTAAAAACAAAATATCGAACAAACCACATGTTCGTCCAATTATGAGACTTATTAATTATAGCAGTTAAAATAACTGTAAGAAAAAATAAAACAGTGTTGCAGCCAATTTAATCTAATTTTGTGTGATACAAAAAAAAAGACTTGATTTGAAATTATTAATCCTCTAATGACTAATAACAATATTAGAATCGGAATTATATATATTCTTAGGTTGTAGACTTTTTTTTTCTCACTCTCCTCTATATTTGATTTTTCCCTGGCTGACACATTCATTAGTCATTGCTGTAAGAAGTCTTTCGCGCGCTCTGCACGTGTTGTTAAATTCACCGTCTCGCGGTTCTCATGCGGCTGTAGCGAGCTTCTGTCGTGCTAACTCGACGGGTAGAAATAGATCAAGATGTTATTAACAAGGGTAGCGTGTCTTTACCTTCGGCAGCGTAGAGCTTGACCCTGACCTTTCGATTTTTCCCACGCCATTTGTAGCGGGTTGACAAATCCAACCAGGACTACGTGATGTTTTTATAACAGAACTTTAAATCTTGATTTCACCTGTGGAAAGTTTCCAGATTAGCGCTGCGGAAATTTAAAGGGATTTGTTTAGGTTTGGAGAACGCTGATTATAGGAATTCGTTTGAAATTCAAAGTTGTAAGTTATTTAATAATGATAGATTATTCTAAAAAAAAGCAGGGGGTTGATATAGCTTTGTATGTAAAGTAAGAACTGTAGCCTATTAGGATTGAAAACAAAAAGTGATAGTCAAGAAGTTATATATAGGTTACAATCACAGGTTTCATAGATAAAATGTTTTTAATTGGCAGTTTCTATATAGGTCACCTAATCAGACAGATGAGGTCAATGAGAAATGAACAACATCAATAACTATTGGAGATTAACTTTTGACACATTGTGTCGAGTGAAGCAGTAATCTCTCTCAGTTCATAATCGGTGTTTTGGACTTTTGATAGACCAGGGAGGTTCAGGTTCAAGATGGCCTCTTCCTCCTTTCCGAACTGTAATTTTTACTGCTGATGAATGTTGATGTAGATACGACATGAGGGTCGGAGTAACTGCACTTGGAGTGTTTACTTGTTTGTTTTGAATTTCCCGCAAAGCTACACGAGGGCTATCTGCGCTAGCTGTCCCTAATTTAGCAGTGTAAGACTAGAGGGAAGGCAGCTAATCATCACCACCCGTCGCCAACTCTTGGGCTACTCTTTTACCAACGAATAGTGGAATTGACCGTCACGTAAGAACGCCCCACGGCTCAAAGGGCGAGCATGTTTAGTGTGAGACGGGGATTCGAACCTGCGACCCTCAGATGACGAGTCGAGCGCCCTAACCACCTGGCCATGCCGGGACAAATAGCGAAATAGCAAACCAAAAAATAAAAAAATAGCATTTTAGAATTATAGTTAACCACCAATGAGCATGTTATTGTCTAATTAGGTTTGATGTTTTGCAACATGTTGAGATAAAAGAAGGCCAATTTTGAGGCCATCAGATAAGATTTATTTGCCATAATGAATTGGGATAATAAGTTTAAAAGTTATGTGGGGCAGTTTTAGAAAACTTGAAAAAAATAAACTGCTTTTAATACACGATGCGCGTGCTCCTACAAATAAGAAAAGGTTAACAGGCAACATCAAACTTAATTGTTTACTAAAGGAGAAAATCACGGGTAAATGTCACAAGTTTAAAGTGATAGAGAGATTGAAAGAGTTACGAATCATAAGAAAGTTGTAGACTTGGTATAAAAAATGGGAATTCCAAAAGAACTTACGAGAAACGGTTGATAATACTAAAACTGATAGCAAGGATATTTGTGGAATTATAAACGGACTTTTAACTGAAAGTATTTTAACGTTGAGAAAAGTCCGTTAATTTCCTACGTTATGAGTCTTAATACCAATTAGTAAGAATATTGTTCTAAGTTAATGGTAAGCAAAATGTTAAAATGCTGATGGCAAAGTTTTTGTTGACGACTATGAGATGGCTGTGCTTTAAATCATATATATATACAAGAGACGATAACAGCAATACTCTTAATCCTGAGTACTCTGTGGAAAATACTGGAATCAGTAGTTATTAGTACCTTGGATAAAAGTTGGAAGATTAAAAACAGATGAAGCACCAGAACCAAACCAGATTTTCCTCTGGCTTTTAAAGGTCAAAGATAAGATATGGAATACTCTCTCTCATTTTTGGTAGGTCAAAAGGCAAGTGGTTGGTGCCTTAGGATTGGAAGGTTGCTGGTGTTAATTTTTAAACAAGGTGATAAGAGTTGCCCTGGAAATTATAGGCTAGTTAGTCTTAATTCTGTAGTATTGGCTAGTTAGTCTTACTTCTGTAGTATAGGCTAGTTAGTCTTAGTTCTGTAGTATAGGCAACTAGCCTATACTACAGAAGTAAGACTAACTAAGTCTTACTTCTGTAGTATAGGCTAGTTAGTCTTACTTCTGTAGTATAGGCTAGTTAGTCTTACTTCTGTAGTATAGGCTAGTTAGTCTTACTTCTGTAGTATAGGCTAGTTTAAAATT